GTGTGTGTGTGTGTGTGTGTGTCTGTTATAGAAGAGAAATCCATGTTGAGTATGGAAAACTGCAGCAAGAGAAGGAAAAGCCCAGTGTTACCAAACCACCCAGTGCCAGCCACTGTCATTTTAATCTTTTTATGGCCTTTTTTTTTTTACCTGTATACAGTTTTCCTTTTACAAAATCCAAATCAGATAGGCATTTTTATGTTCCACCTCCCACTTAACATTATAACAAACATTTTCCATTTTGTAAGTGTTTTCTATTTAATGGCCCTATAATGTATAAGCATAGCAAAAATTACTAACTACTTCCAAGTTGTTGGAGAAATGACTTTTCTATTTTTTCAGCCATTATAAATCATACTGCATTGAATATAGTTGTTTTGGGATCATTTCTTTAGGATAGATTCTTGGGATTGATATTACATTAAAAGGAACATGAATGTTTACAATGCTACATGACGTGTCAATGCATTTTCTAAGGAGTTCTAATTTATCAGCACCAGTATGAGTGCCATTTGTCATATGCTGACTAAGGGTGGGTATTCTTAGTTTTAAAAATCTTTTCTAATTGATAAGCAAAAAGTATATAAATTGTTTCGGTTAACTTTTTTTAAAATTAGTAATGAGGTTGAGTGTTTTTCACAACTTACCTTATCATGCCTATTTCTTCTATGAATTGTCTATTCATGTTCTTTGCCCATTTGTCTAATGGCTTCTTAGTGTGTTTTTTATTAAGATGTAATTCCTATGCATCAAAGATATAATTTTTTCTGTTGTGCTTGTCAGGTAATTTTTGTTAGCATATTCCTTTTAGTTCAAGAAGAAAAAACTTTCTTCCTATGTTATTTGCTTTTCCCATCACTTTTAAGCTTAGAAAGACTCATGTTGACTAATGTCTCCAAGAAGCAAACTTTAGATCATTTACTAATACTGTTGTTAAGCTTGTTCTCCCCTTCTCCCCCTGCAATGTCCAAAAATTGTTTAAAAATATCAAAATTTGGAAGAAGAGATAATCCCTAAATGCCCAGCCTTGTTTCAGCAGTGGAAAAAGCATAAACTTCTATGCTGTAGAGCATCCTTTTACATTTAATAAAGAAATGGTCGTTTTACCAAGTAATGTTAAGAACTGTGACCTATTTGCAACTTACTTACAAAAGCTTTATAGCCTTTTCGTAATTAGGACATAAACTAGATGGTACATGCTTAACATTGCTACAGATAAAATTAAGCAGCAGATTAGAGTTCCTGCCTAGGTGGATCAGGACCTGTGTTGAAACTGAAAGAGAACTATAAAACTGGGTTTGCTGTGAGTCCCTGAGAAGAGTCAGGTGTGACTGGCATCATAGGTGTACATGCTCCTTAAAATATTCATATGTAAGTAAGAAATCTCTTGGAAATGTTGAGAAGATAGCATGGTGTATTGGAATGAGCATGTACTACTTCAAAGTGATCAATTTGGTATGAATCCCTGTTCTTCCACGTACTGGCTTTTATGGAAATAAGGCTAGTTATTTAACCTCCTGTATGAACCTCATATTTAAGTACTTGTGAGGATTTGCTAAATGAATGTCGAGTACCAAGTTCAGTGCGTGTCCCAAAGTGGTAGCTTAATTGTGGTAGGTAATAAGGTAGCTTGCAATGGTAGAAAGAGCATAATAGGCTTTGAAAATTGGCCTAAGCTCCAGTCTTGGTTCAGCTGTTTTCTTGCTATCAGCAAGTTACTTAACTACTCTGAAACTTTGCTGGCAGGGTTGCCCTAGATTAAAAGGGGGTCAATGTAAAAAGCCCAGTACATAGTAGACAATCAGTAAATAGTGGCTATTGCTATATTAAGTGGTTCTAATTTTGGAGGTTATTTAATATTGTTATCATAGTTTTAAATCTGTACATATCTTTCAAGTTTCATTGCAAATTGAAGGTTCCAAGTGACGTTCTTTATTTTAACAGCTGCTTGGTCTAGTGTGGATAGGGGAATGAATACCTCTGAACAGAATTCTGCTTCTTTTGCATCTCTCACACTTAACTCTGCTGTTTCTGGTATGTGAAAACAGTCTTTCATTTAGTTAACAAAAAATTTCTGTTTAAATTCATTCTAGCTCTTGCTATTTGAAAAAATAATCAGTGTCAAGTACTGCTATCAATATAATAATAGATATATAAGTGACAGAGGTTTAACAAAAGGGCAAGAAAGACCTAAATTCTTAATCTACAAATGACTGAGTTCCTTTCCACTGTAGTGAACATAAGAAGGTTCTGTGGCCTAACATAGCTGGAAGTGCTTTGGCACACAGGCAAGTACAGATGGAAGGCCTTTCTTTCAGGGTCAGGATGCTCTGCTGTTACTAGTGTACTCCTGCCATACTTTTACTTGCAGTTTGGCATTTTGTTTCTATTTGCCCTTATTCATCATAAGTTTATAGTGAAGCCTTTCAGATTATACGGATCCTCAAATAAAAACTGTACTCTGAGAATATGTTGATTAGAAAGTATGTTATCACTAATAAACTTCTATAAATTCAGCATAACTTAAGTGGATATGCCTTTTATTAATCATATGAGAGCTGTATGTCCTTAACAAATATTAATTAAACATGGGAGATGTTTAGTTTGTAATGCTTGGTTGGTGTTGGAATTCATGTATCCCCTGTACTAATTCTGTAGTCCCACAGTGTCCAGAGTCACTATTCTAGAACAGGGGTCAGCAAACATTTTCTGTAAAGGGCCCAGAGGCTTTGTGAGCCCTACTGTCTCTGTTGCAACTACTGAATTGTGCCATTGTAACAGGAAAGCAGCCAGAAATGATAAACGGAGAAGTGTGTCTGGTTCTGAAATACTTTTTTTTTTTCTTCAACCACCTAAAAATGTGATGCTAGCTCATAGGGTGTACAAAAGAAGGGGTGGCTGGATTTGGACTATGGGTAATAGTTTGCCAATCCTTGGTCTCATCGAATACATTTCACTTCCAGAGGTACAAGTTAATTGCTTCCTTCATTTGGTGACTTTGTACAACAGAGATGCTATCCTTTTTATATAGTCAGAGAAAGTAGCATGGGCTGCTAAAGAAATAGCAACAGTGTTAACCTACTATAGTGTCTCTAAGTGGTTCATGTGCTAATTATATATGAATTTTATAGTGTTACTCTGTTAAAATTTACATAAAAATGTGTATAACTAGTTTGAATATATTAATAACATGCTAGTAAAGTTAGCTATAACAGTGTGAAAATTTGTTAGTAAGGACTTTGATCAGAGGAAGTAATTGTGTCTTTTATACTAACAGGTATTTTTCTTAACCAGTTCTTTTTATCAGTGGCTCTGAATCCAAAGTGAGTATCAGAGTCACCTAAGGATTCTGATGCGTATGGAAATTCTTATTCAAAGGCCTGGGGTGTATATATCCTTGATGGAGAGTGTTTGTAGTCTGAAATGAATTTATGGTTAAAGAGCAAGGATTTTGACCTGGCACCTGGCACCCATGAATTTATATGTCCCTAAAACTGTTTGCAAGTTTTTGTGTAAGTTCTAGACAGTAGTCTACCACAGCTTTTATCAGATTCCTAAGGGATTATATGACCCCCACCCCCTACCTCTTCTCCATCAAGGATA